GCCCAACACCCATCACAGCCTCTTTGAACCCTGCACTGTAAGCTGTCAGTCTAGCCAGAAACCCAGCAACCTCATTTATGCAAAAACAAAAACAGAAAGACAGCTCCTCCTGATGGGAATAAAAACTAATTCCAGCCAAGCAGCATACATCCTGAATTGCAAATTAAAATGACAATATTCCCTCATTCAGAAGAGACCACCTCACGCCAAATTGTCATTAGCATCAGAAACCCCATCCAAATAAATCACTGCTGAAAACTCCAGAAATTTGATATAAAGGAAAGGAGAGGCTAGGGCTGTCTTTGTAAAGAACTTGCCACGCTGGAGTGAAATGGACCCACAGTAAACAAGGGAGCTCTTGTTTCAACAAGTATACTTTGGGCAGTAGGACAAATGTGTTTCTTGTACCATGGCAGTGCTCCCAAAGCCACGCTCCACAAAAAGCTGGAGATGTAATCAGAGCCACTGCAGAGCCAAGATCTGGATTCTGCTCCTAGCTCTACCCCAACTCCTATCTCACTCCAGAACTGTTTCCTCTGGCCAGGATTCATCTTTCCTCACTTTACCCATTAAAGACACAGGAATTTAGGCGAGATGCTCTGCCTAGGCTCACTCTACGGTCCATGGGAAGAAACCCCTTCCAGGGGGCTACTTAGCTCACTCTTGAACTCCAGGCTTACAACAGGAGGGATGGCCTATGGATGCACTGCTCTCTCACAGCTGACTAAAGGGGAAAGTAAGGGCACAGACTCAAGCTCTAGCTGCTAGCTGGCTACAGCCAGGGGGGACTATGCCCTCTGTGTCTGCTATAAAAATGGGATAAGAAGTCTTCCAGGCTTCTCTTGCCTATTTAGATGGCAAGTCCCTGCTTAAAGTCTGCACAGAATAATTGAATCATTTGGTTGGAAAAGACCTTGCCTTTGGCACAACAGACCATGGCAGAACTAACACAATCCAGAAAGCACACAGTAGGGTCTTGCCTAATGTAAAAAATGGAACAATCTTCTGAGCAGGCTAAGAAGGGAAGTGACCATTCTTGAGCTTGTATCTCTCCACCTATGCCTGGGTGGCAGAGCAATGGGAAGGCATTTCCCAGTTCCTACTCTCTGAGCACATGGACTGTGAGCACAAGAAAATTTTGCTGTGCTGTACAAGGCAAGACATATCCTGAGCACTTCTCACCATGCTCTCCTTTGAAAAGGCTGATCCTAATCTGCTCTTAGACTAGCTGCTGAATTAAAGAGATTGTCAGGCCAGTTTAGGCTTCTTGGCAAACTAACAGGAATATTTCCAGGACTCAGAGTGAACTTCAACAGAAAAATGTCATTTTAGAGGAAAATTAAATGTTGCAATATTGCAAGGAGAATGCAGTCCTTACTAGTATAAATTAAGACAACCCATCTGGTTTAATTGTCAGAGCACAGAGAAATAAATAAGAATGACTGTTTGGGACAACACCAAAGGTCCCTGTAGCCAAGTATCTTACCTCAAAGAGTGCTGAGAAGCCACTGGTTAAATATTGTAAGATCCTCAGCAAATATAGGTCTGTACTCTTGTACCTACTTAGAGCTTCAAGCAACTCGCAGCTGTGATCTTACTGATGGTTTGTTGTTCCAATAGGAAATTGTCCCTTCATTAATTCTTCTGAATCCACATGTATCTCTGTCCTTCAGATCACATAGGAAGAAAAGTTCCACAATTTCACGATGTGATATAATCGTGAAATTCTGAATCGTGTTATTCTGATTTAAATTTGTCTTAGTCCTGCTACTCAGTAATGTAGCCATATTGTTATGGGCAATAATGAACATTTGACCCCTTTTCATTTTTGTCATGCCACTCAGGATTCTATGGACCCATACCGTCCCTCTTCCTTGTTTGTTATGAAAGTCACAGACTATTTTAGCTATCTGATACAAAAGGCATTATATATATTTTTGTTTGTCATTGCTGCCCTTTTCTGGACCTTTCCAACTCTTCCACAGTCTCAACAAATTCCTCTTTGGAATTCACAGCCAGAACTGCATGCAATAATCAAGAGGTCAGCTTATGATGGATCTTGTTTTGGTCTCTTTTTAGATTTGTCTTTTTGTTCCTACTGTTGCTTTAAATGTAGCTTTCTATTTTGTTTCCACTCTATCCAGAAGTTTTGTTTTCTTTTTCTTTCACAGTAATTCCCATCAATTTTTAGTTCTGCCTTTTTGACTATGGCTGAGAACTACCAAGTGTTTGAAAAGAAACACATACTTGAATGACTTCAAGATCACTTTCCTGAATAACAGCAATCTCCTTGAAGCCAAGCGCTGAGCTTTTTATCCCACATCCACTGTGTTTCTCAACTATGAATTCCGTTAGTCATTTTATCACAGCTGAGAGCCTTCAGTGTTCATTCAAAATAAATGTGTTACCTTAAAATAAATACCAAATCATTTGCCTTGTTAGTTCAGAATGCCCACAACAGATTCTAACTTTTTCAGCACAAAGAACACCAACAAAAACATCCACCTGTAATTTGCAGGCACATACAGATCAACTGAAATGGGTGGTAAGCAAAGATATATTTCCTGGCAAGGTCCTCTCTTTGGCTCCCCCACTGTCTCTCACCCACCCTCTGTCCTTGACAAAGAATTTCAAGGGTTGAGCTATTCAGGGTAAAAATAACGCTAACTGTAATTCTCAACCAGTAGCTACCTGTAGCATCATGACTGATCTTCATTTCAAGTCAGATGGAGAATTATTAGTGATGCACAGAAGAGTCAGCTCTTACTTAAATTAATAAAACACAGACACTCAGAGAAGAAAGAAAAATGTCCTTCTGGAGACAGAGGGTTTTGACTGGGTCAAAACACCTAGTCCTTCTCACAAACCTAATGAATGTAATCTGCCTGTTCTGTAGTCTGTCTTCCTCTTGCAGAAAGGAGAAGGCTCTGCTTCTGCCTTTGTGAGACTGTTCTTTTATCAGCCCATCTCTGCATTGTGTCAGAGTTAACTAAGATCTAGGAGGGACATGTTTGTAAGCAGGAGAAGCCCTGCAGTACCCAGTACCCTGGGGTACTGCCGTGATCTTTACCAACTCTGAGAAAAAAAAACAGTGGAGACCTAACATAGTTCAGAATTTTGGCCTTTTGCCTATATTCCTTTGTAATGTCAATGGCATCCTGCCTTGTATCAGGAATAGTGTGGCCAGCAAGAGCAGGGATGTAATTCTCCCCCTGTACCCAGCACTGGTGAGGCCTCATCTTGAGTACTGTGTCCAGTTCTGGGCCCCTCATTTCAAGAAGGATATTGAGGTGCTGGAGCAGGTCCAGAGGAGAGCAACGAGGCTGGTGAACGGACTAAAGGGAAAGTCTTACAGGATAGGCTGAGTGAGCAGCCTATTTGTTGTTTAGCCTGGAAAAGAGGAGATTCAGGGCGGACCTTCTCACTCTCTTTAACTATCTGAAATGAAGGGAAGTTATAGTCAGGTGGGGGCTGGGCTCTTTTTCCAGGCAACTAGTGACAGGACAAGAGGGCATGGCCTGAAGCTGCTCCAGGGGAGGTTTAGGTTGGATATTAGGAAGCACTTCTTCATGGAGAAGATGATTAGACATTGGAATGGACTGCCCAGGGAAGTGGTGGAGGCACCATCCCTGGAGGTGCTTAAGGAAAGGCTGGATGTAGCACTTAGTGCCATGGTCTAGCCAATGTGGTGGTGTTGGTCATAGGCTGGTTTGGATGATCTCAGATGACTTTTTCCAGCCTTAATAATTCTGTGATTCTGTGAAGTGACAAGCTTCATTGGATGTAAAGCTGAGGGTTTAAGGTGACTGTTCAGTACATGAGAATGCCAGCAATGTGACTCTACAGCAGTTACTAACAGTGCAGAAGGCTACAGTCCTGGCAAGTCCTGAAAACACTTTCAGGAGTCCTGAGAAATGTATTGAGTAGTCTGCTGAGAAGATAACATTGAGGAACCAAGGCTACCTGAGGGACAAAGACCCCAGAAAGCTTTTCTCACAACCAGTCTCCTCCCTTTGGCAATTTCCCTGGGTAGCAGTGGTCCCAGGTGGAATGACCAGAATGCTGTCTGCTGCCTAAGATGCTATTCATGATAGTCAAGCACTTCAGGTAGAGCTAGAAAGTAGAAGAAAGTAAGAAAACAGAAGAGAGAATGTTTATTCACAGTGACATTAGAATACAGCAGTCAGTGCTTGATAAGCAACAAGAGGTACTGAATGGGAGGAAATGCAAGGTCGACGAGAAGGATTCCCATGTTGTAAAAAACAAACAAACAAACAAACAAACAAACAAAAAAAGTAAAAATAGATGTAGTGCACAGAGTAAAACACCACCAACAACAAAAGGTGAGAAAACATCAACTTGTTAGAATTCTAATCTATTTCCTGGACCTGAGAGCAGGAATACTGGATAGAAATTAATATGGAGTAACATAGCAACCCCAGAACCTTCTGTTCATTGCTATTCAAAATTATCCCATGTTCAATCCCAGACACTATAGCACAGAAAGTGCCTTTTCACAATACCCAGGCCTGATGTGCCCTAATGGAGAGACATCCCTGGAAGGTGTCTCCTAGCAAGAAAGTGGTGAGTTTACAGTTAGAGAAGTCTATCATTATTAGCTTCTGGCAAAATTTAACATACCTGGTCTTTCAATAATTGGAAGGGTAGGAACAGAGGAATCAGAGCCCATCAAGTAAAATAAAAGTATTAGGTGGTACTTCTAGAGGAAAGTCCTTTTACCAAAGGGAGAGGAAACAAGTAATAACCCAAAAGCCTTGGCTAATGATTACTATGTTTATGCATTTCTGAATGTTTACGTATGACATGGAATGTAAAGGCCTAATCCCTATCCTCAGTTAAATCTTAATTTACTGCTTTGAAATCAGATAAATTCTTGCTGTGAGATGCAATCTATGCCTCAGAGTATTACATAATTTCGTCTCAGTGCACCTGTTTAATTTTTTTAATCTCTCAATGATTATTTTGCATTTATTACTTACAAGAGCCATACCCCACTGCAAATAGGTCCTTGTACTTTGGATTCCTGTAATGAGAAAATATATATAGAATTGCATTTATTATTAACTGTATAGTTCCACAGAAATGCAGTGTTTTACACCTTAGTATCAGAGTCCATTTTCACAGGACTGCAATGGTCTGAAGGCTTGACCCTTTGAACATATTCACTAGTAAAGTTTTAATAATTTTTCCAGACTCAAAATGGTTAAAAAAAAAAAATAGAACACCAGAAGAACACAGCAGTAGCTGAAACAGATAAAAAGGGCATGGACAAACATGTAGTTAATCTCCAGCACTTCTTGGCCTATCCATTTCATGTTAATGGAAAGTTTGCTTCTAAAAATCAGGTCTTTGAGGAAAGGAAAAAGGCAGGAGTGTGTTTCCATCTTTCAGGGGCAAGAATAAAGTAGTTTCTAAATCACAACAGAGTAATACCCAATGAGCTTACCTGTTATTAAATAATGAGGGATGCTTCAAGAGACAGCTATCAGTTCATTAATTTGTGATCATTGCCACAGACCAGGGAGGATAATTCCCCTTCAACCCAGTTGGTGACAAATGTATTTGCTGAGGCATACTGACTGTGAACAATTTGCCAGGTACTATATTTTCTAAAGCCTTTATTTGAAAAACATCTACCTTCTTTACAAATTCTGCTCTGTGTGGACAGCAGCTTACATGGAATAAAGGTCAGTATTGTTCCTGTCCCTGAGTTTACATAGCACAACCAGTGAAACTGATTTCTGTAAAATGAATGTATGTGAAAATTATCTAGTGAGTGCTTTCTCTTATTTGCTATTCTGAACTGATAAAACTACATTTCTTTTAATTTCTCCTTCTTCACTTGGGCTAATACCTAAACATGTTAATGCTCCTGATCTATCCACTAAATGCACCATCACTACTAATAACGTGAGAACAAAAATTAATAAGAAAAGCTTATTATGTAAGGTAATTTTGAGTCATTCTCCCAATTTCAGGGCCATCCTTCTGTATCCATTTGCTGGAGATACAAGTAATAGCAGCACAAAATATGTAAGATGCCTTTTCTCCTGATTTTACATCTCATTTTACTGTTCCTTTGTAATTCTCACACGACTGTATCCCTGATATTCTATTAAAGCATGATCACTGCAGTAGCTTGAAAGGACAGAATACTGCAGCCCTGCTCAGTATCTCCATACATCCTCTTTGGCAAGACACAGATGTGCTTACACTGCCCCATAAACAAGTGAGAAGAGTCCTAATTGCAGAGGAGCACTAAGCAGAAGCTCATGCTCAGTGGATATACCAAGGCAGTTCTGGGGAGATCCACGCATGTTAAAAGTAAAAGGACTCATTCAGGTTAGTGATGAGTGGATTTTTTTCACAGTAACAAACATGATGACAACATTGCAGAAAAAAAAGATAGTTGGTTAGGCAGTATTAGTGATTGGTTTTGGACTGACCAGAAATAAATACCCAGAAGTTGACAGCAGGGTAAATGCCTACTAAACCACAACCTGCCTGGGCAGCCTGTTTCAGTGCCTTACTACCCTCATGATGCAGAATTTCTTCCTGATAATCTAACCTAAATCTCCCCTCTTTCAGTTAAAAAACACAACCCCTTGTCCTGCCATTGCCTACTCTAGTGAGAAGCCCCTCCCCAGCTTTCTTGTAGGCCCCTTTCTGGTACTGGAAGGATTCTTGCAGCATATTGTTCAAAGATATGACTTGTCTACTTTGGCTTTCCTAAGAAGCAATTCTGCTCCACTAAGTCCACTCACTTAGCTCTGGCCTGCCCAGAGCCTGCTGTGCCTTCTCCTTTTGCACAAGCCTGGCAGATTCCGCATTACACAAGGTGCTTTGCATCCAGAAGCAACAGGCTTCTAGGTGCTGCGAAAGCAGCTGTCTGTAATTACTCAAAACAGTGTTCTCAGAGAAACCAGCCCTGCCTGCTAACATGCCGTGACATTGAATTCCATTTCTCTGCCAAGAGTAGTTTTGTACTAAAGAGACTTACCAGGAGATGGCAGTAACTGCAAGTCTCTTGGTTTGCTCGTACTGGAACTTCCAGAGTGGGAGCAGGGTTCCTTCCTGACCTCTGAATTCATCAGAGGCATCCTCAAAATATTTAAAATCTAAAAAAAAAAAATAAATATAATAATTTTAAAAAAAATCCCACTGAGTAAATCGGAAATAAATCAGCGTGGTTCAGTGCCAGGGATGCTTTACAAAACACTCTGTTATCCTCACAGCCTCCACAGAGCCCAACTGTCAGTATAAAACTGTTCCAGTCCTTAAGTCTCAACTCCAAACCAGCATCCAAGTCCTGTAAATGCATTTTACCAAGCACCAAGTCCTCACAAACACACACACATACAAAATAAAAAAGCTGACTATTTAACAGTAAAGGATGAACAAGAGGACAGAAGCTCAGAGTGAGGAGCGACATCAGGCCACTCCTCCAGCCACATGAGGCTTTTTGGGAGGGAACTGAGCAGAAGTTGCAAAACCCTTTAGAAAACTCAATTCAGATTGGGGGTGAAGTGCAGCAGGAAGAGCAATGCTGACAAAACCTGCTGGCCCCAGCCTGCTCAGAGCAGGGCTGATATGCCATGTCCTTTGAGTGACCACAGTCTGCCGTCCTGTTTGCCTTCTGTGAGGCAGCGGGTTCCTAGCCCTGCTCATTTTAGAGCAGACTAATCTGGTCTGTTCTACCCTTGTTACAGGTGTGGACACTCATCTCCAGGAGTTCTGGCCAGAGTCAGAAGCATCTCCCAGCAGAGCCATACCTTGTGCAATGTCATCAAATGTGTTCTGATTCACCATCCGCTCCATTATTTTAGCTGCCTTTGAGATCTTGTTTATATCATCACTCTGTTGAAAAGAAAAACAAAGAAGAGAAAATGTATTTCCTATCTGTCTACAAGTTGGTCAGACCTTGTGTAACTGTAAAACTTGGGTCCTTCAGTCTTGAATACAGGATAATTTGAAGCTCCTCACACCAGCACCTGATGATACAGGCACTGGAGTTAAGGTAATTATTTTATTATAAGTTTAGCAAGGTATCATTCACAGCTGAGCTGCAGTGTTTGTTCCTGATTTAGATCAATTGGAAGGTACTTATCTGTGAAGGCAGTTAAGTCTTTACTTCCTCAGCTCAGTCAAGCTTCCTCATGATGGGATGAGCTATAAGCACACACATGCTCCCTCCCCTAACTCACTTGATAATAGTTAATTTGCTTCAGTAACGAAATCATAGGTGCTTGATGATGCAGGAGCATCCTCTCATATATACCTGGACAGCTTTAAGGTCCCACGTGTTAAGAAAAGACCACAGGATTTAGGAATCCTTCAGACAATCACTGAGGAACACCAACTTGATGCATTCACAGATTCATAAGCTCATACAATATATAACCAACTTGCAAAGGGCAGTTTGTTGTCTCACTCTTGCAAAAATTGTTTTGATAACTGTGGAAAATCCTGTCCTCCTTGCCAGGGAACACCACAAGTGAGAAAGCCTGCATATGTGAAGGTATGCAGATGTACCTTCAGGTATGCAAGTATTGGAAACCATTTGGGGAGTGACATCTTGCAAGGCCAGCAGTCTCTAGGTACAGTACTAGGTACTACAGTACTAGGTACAGTAATATCATGTAAGGTTAAGATTGCCTAGGAAACTATGCCAGAAATACAAAACTTGGGAATGGACATAGGATAAATGTGACCAATGGGGAAAAAGTAATTAGGGGCAGGTTGTTGATTATAATGGACACAATTGTGGAGAAAAGGAACAATCCAGGTGAACGGGTGAAGCAGCAGCATAGACAAATGGAGAAAAGGGAGCGTAACAGGAGCTGTTTGTCAGCAGGTGGCTGGTTGGGATGCTTGTCTGACAGAGCTGTGTGCCTGATCACCACAGTCTTCTTACTAAACACTATTGTGCAGGTGTGCTCTCTACCCTCTGTGTGTGTGTGATCACTAGCAAAATCCAGGCTGGATCAATCAGCAAGTAGGTCAAGAAGCCTGTGTGCCAGCAATGGAAAGAACAGCTTCTAAGTCCTCAGACCGTGCTGGTCCACGAGGAAGATGCCAGTACAGCTCTGCAGAGTGGTGTGAGAATGCCAAGGTGCATACAGAGTGTTCTGGCAGCATGCTGCTCTGAGGACCTGAACCCTCATCTCCTACAGCTGCCCAAAGCCCCATCAGTGTTTCAAAGCCTTTCATCTTCAAACCCTTGCTAGGGACTGATGGATGCCAGCACAGCATGATTTCCTCCACAGTGACAACACTGAAAAGAAACTTTTCATCCTAGGCACAGCTCACAAAATTCCCTCAACAAGAAAATAAATAGTGAAAATACTTGCTAAAACTGCACTGCACATTCATAGTCAGAACCAAGAACACAACTTCAGATTATGTGCATCCCAGCCCATTACTTGTTTCTTGGGCTCAGCACAGACTCAAAGGACACTGAAAGTCTTGCTTCAAAGACCATGACATGCAAAGTGTTATGCAAAAATGACACAAGAAAGGATTTTTTAAAAACCCACACAAAACAAACAAACAAACAAACAAAAACAACCAAACACAAAACAATAAAACAATTATATAATCTGAAACACTTGGTATAAAGCAATAGTTTGCCTACACCTTCAGTAATGTTTGTAGTCATCTTGTCCTGTCTCAGAAATTATAAAATAGAACTTGGAACTGACTTCAGAGAAGGGCAACAAGGATGGTCCAAGTCTGGAATGGTTTCTGTACAGGAAAAACTGAGTAGGCTGGAACTTGATGTTATGGAGAAGAGTTGCTTGGGACAATGTAAGAAAGGTTTATGAAATCCTAAATGGCCCAGAAAAGATGGATGGGAACTAAATGACTGCTCACTGTCTCTTCCAATACAAAAAGTAGGGGTGTCAAGGGAAGCTAGTGGAAATCAAGTTCAAAATTAGCAAAAGGAGGTGACTTTTACAGGATGACACATCTTGTGCAACTCCTTGTCAAAAATGTGGCAGATGTAAGAATTTTACATGGTTTTGAGGAAGACTAAACCAGTATGATCATTGTGTAGATGTGGCACTTCAGGGCTTGCTCTAGTGGCCAAGGTGTGAGGTTTTGTGTCGGTTTTTGTGGTTGAGTGTGAGTGGCTGTGTTTGTCTGTTTTTTGGGGGTTTTTTTGATTGATGGCTGGACTCAGTGATCTCAGAGGTCCCTTCCAACCACAACAATTCTGTGATTGTGTGATCTATGTGCCAAAACATATCAAGTTTAGGAAACAACTGAAAACAGTTGAAGGCTGGAAGAATATTTGGGGCTGACATAAATTTTTGTTGTGTTCTTGCACTTCCTTATACAATCCTTTGTGGTTAGAGCTTTCATGTGAAAGTGTGGACAGTTTCATGTTCTCCAGGTTTTTCCTAGGTCTGTGGGAGGACTTATTGAGAACACCACAGAGAATTTACTGTGATGTTTGACATTTAAGAAAGCACAGAAAAAGATGTTTTCAAATTTTAACACACTGTGATATTCCATAGACATTAGGAATTCATAGGCATTAAGAGAAACTAAAGAGGGAGAGAAAGAGGATCCCTACCCTAGTCTGGCACTCTGATTACTCCCCAGTAGTGGTATTTCAGGTAGGCAGTGATGAGGTAGCTACCAGAAGCCCAAGGGCAATGAAGAGAGACTTCAGGGCCCTGAGATGGCTGGTTAAGGGATCAAGAGCACTAGTGTTCTCCTCTATCCCACCAGTTGCAGGGATTGATAAGGGGATAAACAGGAAGAGCCAGCAGATTAACTCCTGGCTCTGAGACTGTTACAGGCAGGATTTTGGTTTCTTTGGTCATGGGTTGATCTACAGGACACCAAGCCTGCTAGTAACAGGTGGGGGAAGCCTAACCCAAAGTGGGAGAAGGATCCTGGGGCAAGCAGGGCTCATTGAAAGAACTTTGAGCTAGTTTTGAGGGGGGTTGAGGATGAAACCAGGCTTACTAGAAAGGAGTCTGGGAGCAGCATGCCACTGCTTGTGGGTAGAAGTGCTAGCAAGGTCTTGCAGTCTGTTGTCTCAGAGGAGGTGGGTGTTGGTGATCCATGAGGCAGCAAAGACATGAGGGGTAGTGATAGGTTGGCAACTATGGAAGTGTTTTAGAGAAAGACAGGTCCCTCTTTAGCAGGGAAGTTGCACTACGTGATCTCTATATGTCCCTTCCAACTCTGGCAATTCTGTGATTCCATGATTCTTTGAAACACCCCAACTAGAAATCAATATTTTCAATTCCTGGGATTTCTCTCTTCTGACTTAAAGTTGCCGTAATTGCTTCTGCCACAATAAGACCTGTCTTTCTCTAAGACACTTCCTCAAAAAAAGCATTTCGGCTTTGCTAATACTTGTACAGCAATATTGGGATCATGACTATAAAAATGTAATTAGCTGCCACCAGCATATTGCTCTGAGTAAGGTTAATTGAGATAGGTTAATGTTGAAAAGGTTACAATTTGACTAAGAAAAAGAGAACTGCAATAATCACTTTTCTCTCCAACAATGTAAAAGTGATAGGATGTATAAAAAATAGATCCCCTCAGAGAATCGCAGAATCACAGAATCTTAGAGGTTGAAAGGGACCTCAAAAGGTCACCCAGTCCAACCCCCCTGCCACAGCAGGGTCACCCAGAGCACATCACATAGGAACGTGTCCAGGCAGGTTTTGAATGTCTCCAGAGAAGGAGACTCCACAGCCTCTCTGGGCAGCCTGTTCCAG